GAAGGGAGAATCACGGGACGAGACGCCCCTCATCATCCTCCGGATGCATCCGGAATTGAGAAACGTTGAGGAGTGTCGTCCCCTCCCCGATTTTTCTCGGCAAAGAAAACCCAGGGTATCTGGTTTCTCGCGATTTTCGAAACTCGGGAAAATATATATGAAGGAAGGAAAGGAAAAACTACGCCCGTAAACTACGAAAAAAAAAAAAAATAGCGCCTTTCATTTGCCCGCTGCCTTTCTTCACCTCGCCCACGCGCTACCTGAATTAACCTTTAGTTCATTACGCTGATGGAAAGGGTTGAAATCGATATTCGTGGGCTAGATTCTCGTCGAGGAAAAATCGGGACGATGTAAAATGTTTTCCCCACGAGGGGGAGGGAATGTTTTACGAGGCGCAGCAGGGTGTTGTTGATCAACTTATATCATGGTGGTTTTCGACTAGAGGAAGATCGAAAAGGAAAGGGGGAAAAAAAAAAAAAGAGGACTGGATAGATCCGTTACGCCATGACAGTTGATTGCAAAAGTTCTCATACGCCCCTACGGAGTAAATTCCGAACGAAAATCGATAATAATTTCGTTTTATTAATCGAGTGATACGCAGTAATGGAATATCGTAGAATCAGAAATCAATCCTTGAAATCTGAAGCGTTATTTTATATATTCTATATTATACTATAAGTTTTAATGTTATCTGTTATAGCCTCGCGTTACAATACGTGCAGGCGAAAGAATACATGCGCAACATCGAAGAATCGTAAGAAATCATTCAACGTATATTACGAAAGATTTACGAAGAAAATTTTGCAATTGAATTTTAATTCTCCGCGTAGGCATAACTTCCTTTTTCGACAATTGTCGCGGATGTGTCATCTTCTTAACGTTGATTGGGATAGAAGGAAGAAGGAAAAAAGGAGAGAGAGAGAGAAAGAGAAGGGGAGGACAAAAAAAAGGAAAAGAAGGATCTTTAGGTGCGAACGAAGAGGACGTGGAGGAAAATGAAGTCTCGTAGGCGAGCGTGAAGAAATGCGCGGAAGAAGCTTTTGTTCAGTCTTTCGCATCTCTTTCTTCGGCATCGATGGAGAATACGTATCGGGAATAAGATTGCGGAGGATGGAGGATCCTTTTGTGCGCGCGGCTGTGATTAATGGCGGCACAATAGCGCGCGTGCCGTGGGATATGATCGTGCGCGACGCACATACACGGCCCAGGATGGATAGGTTTAACGCCGATTCCTCAAAAAATCAATATCGAAGACATACCTCGCACCTGACGTAACGCTCTAATCTTTTCCTAATACCCGCCAATCCTACCAGATTAATCCTATCCGTTTTAATACGCGTCGTATTTTCCCTCCGCCACGTGTAAACTGTAAAATCTTTTTATCCACGATTATGCACGGATCGAAGATCTTCGTCTTTGCTTCGCAATAAACTCTTTTCTATACTAATAGAAAAAGACCGAGATTCGAGAATCTTGTTGAAAGTAGAAAAAAAGAAAAAAATAGAAAGAAACATATCTAAATTGCCGATTTTTCCACTCCTGAAATCGAAAGCGACGATATAATAAATAATTTTTTAATCAAAAATCCCTGTTCTTAGTCTTTTTTTTTTTTTAAGAACGATTGTCTGGTGTATTCAATGAAAAGTGATTTTCATGCTAGTGCATGGACACGCATAATTCGAGGCCATTAGAACGCGATGAACCGATTAAATGCACTTTGCGAAGAGTGAATCAAAACGATCATTATCCTTCATGATAGCTACGAGAGGGGGAGGGGGATAAGGGGGAGCGTTAATTGCGAGACAAGGGTAGAAACAAGGCTGGGAGACGAGGGAACGGATTAGAAGGGAGAGCGGAGGGGGAGGATTCTCTTCGTTTCCGGTCTCGGGAAGCGGAAAATTAAGATGATTACCTATGAAACGAACCGATGTCCGATATTAAGCCCCAAGGAGAACTTTCGTTAATGAATCATTAGCGATCGTTAATTGGCCATCCATTGGTTCTCTCGTATTTTCATTCGAATAAAAGTCTCACGTATCGGGATAACGAATTGGAAAATTTTGCAAAGAGGAGCTTTCTCTTTCCTCTCCTCCCTGCGAGAGGAGACGAATCGCGTTTAAATCTTGTTGCATCGTCCACCAACCTATTTCTCTATTTACGAACCTCGTAAAGCGTACAAAGATTCGCGAAGAAATTTCTCTGCCCACGCGAGAGGGAAAGAGAGTTTTAAATTTCCATCGAGACGATGCACCTTAGAATATCCCAAAGAGCGTAGTAGGAAGGAAAAAACGAAACGGTGCAACCTAGAACCCGTGCCACAGTGGACGCAAGTTTTATTTCAACACTCTTTCGACCGTGCACGTTGTTCGCGGCGGCAGGAAGCGGAAGCGTGTCTATGCGACACTGTCCACCCGGAAGCGATGGTTAACCGACCGTCAAGCCCTTCCCATTCTTCGCGTATGAAAAATGACGGGGGCGTATTGGCCGAGTGTTCGTAATAGCGGGGCTCGAAAAAGGGTGTTGTTCGCTCTCCTCGCTCTCCGAAAATATTGTGGAAATTCATCGAAACGGAACGGTGACATAAAGGCGTGGTCCATGCTGTTTTTTTTTTTTTTTTTTTTTTTTT